TTCTACTACTTATTGCTTCCTCACTAATATTACAGCCATTTTACTTTCCACACAAAGCAAACTCCTAAACGAAAAACTGAAGACCTTCAATTTAAACAAATTACTAACGTCATGAAAACAAAATTACTAACTGCTAGATTATTGTAAGCAGACAGTGCTGACGAGTAACTCCTAATTTCTAAACCAAGAACAGGATTCCATTGATATCTCACTGAATACCATGTCAAAAACAGCACCAAATGGTAGATTGTTTCAATTTGCTAGTTAAAATGTATTAGTTACCTTTGAAAGGTAAAATGAAAAAAGAACATCCTCATATAAAAAGTGTACTTGTCTCAATTCATAGCACCTAGTGCAGATCCTGGCTTCTCTCTCATCCTGCTGAAATCTGCATCTGTCACATCTGACAGTTTTCTGCAGAAGGTAATTCATGTCCAGTGCCCCCCCATCCCCAGCACACAGCAGGTGAGTGACAGTCTCAAGATGTAGATGTTTCCCAATAAGACTGTAGGTAGGGTATGTACATACCCTACACTCAGGAGTCAGATTACACTTTGCTCTCTGTTCTGTGTTGTGCAGCATGTCAAATCTTTACCTCCCAGAAGCTGAGAAATATAATCTGATCAGTGTACTTTAAAAAAAAGTCTAGAGAGAGAGCGGAAGACCACAGATAAACTGGTACAACTTTTATGTGGAAAGATTTGCTTCATTACTATGCATCACCTGAGGCTAGTCACTTCAGTGGGCTTATGTAAAGGTTTATTCTCACTTTAACAAAACCAGAGCTAGATCACAGTGGTGGGGGCACAGCAGAAGCCACTGACGTTTTCATGTGTAGCTACCATTGGTTCAGTTTAGTTTTAAAACACCAAGTTTTTAATTTAAAAAAAAGATGCAGTCTTAAAACTACAATGTTACCCAAACTTTATAGGCTAACCTTGATTGTGGAATACCACTTCTGACTTCCAAAATATGCTTGTTACCTAGCTGCCATGCTAATAGAATGGTTTTGTTGCTTCTTAAGTCAGAACACATACACAGGTCAGGAGCTCTTCATTCTGACTTAACTGGCTGAGTACTTATTTCAGCGAAGTGACTAGTAAAGCACTAATGCTGGGGAAAGCCAGGTACCAGCATTTTCAGAAGGAACATACAGTAAATAAAAATATACATAAGTTATCTACTTTTTAAAGGATAAATGTGATTTGTGTATAGTGTATGTGCAATAAAAATGAATTGGGTTTATCCTGAAGTTATCTAATTTTTAAAATTTTGGAAAGTTATAGGTTCCTTCTCTGGATGTCAAAACAATGCATTTAAACATAATGAAACAAGAATGACTGCTGTGCAAAAACAAATTTAAAGAATACACAACTCACAAAAGTTATGGATGCTGTTCTCAAAGAAAGTCAAACGACAGAGCAATGACTATAAAAAACTTACACCAAGTAAAGTAACAGCAGTGCTGTACCACTAAGCAGAAAGCAAAACCTGAATATTAAGAAATACATACACAGCTGCCATGCATAATTACATAACTGAATAAAATGACAAAATAAAACAAATATTATTCATGTATATATGTAAGAGCATTTAAAAAGGACTATACAGTGATACCTCAGTTCACAAACGCTTCTATTTACGAACTTCGTTAGCGAACAGAAGAGTTTGCAAAAATGTGCTTCAGTTTGCCAACTCTGCTTCAGTTGACGAACTCGAGCCGCAACTCGTTGTGGTTGTGACTTCCTTTGGGCAAGATCACGGTCAGAAACAGACACTGAAAGTGCACTGTGAAGACACTTACAGTACTAAGAAGCTTTTTGGTGTGCTTTTTAGCACATACTATACAGTACTGTATTGTACATCCCTGTGCACACTTGTAAAGCTTTTTTGTGTGCTTTTTAGCATATACTGTACCAGACATCCAGTATGGCTCAAAAGAAAATTCAGAGAAAGCATGGTGGTAAGAAGTAAGTGTGGAGCGGTAATGAAGGTGACAAGAATGTGCAGAGCAAGCATGTTGCTGAAAAGAAAGTGCAGGGTGGTAATCAAGGTGCCCAAAACATGCAGAGCGGTAATGAAGGTGACAAGAACTTGCAGAGCGGTAATGAAGGTGACAAGAACGCGTAGAACTGTAATGAAGGTGACAAGAACGCGCAGAGCAGTAATGAAGGTGACAAGAACGCGCAGAGCAGTAATGAAGGTGACAAGAACGCACAGAGCAGTAATGAAGGTGACAAGAATGTGCAGAGCAGTAATGAAGGTGACAAGAATGTGCAGAGCAGTAATGAAGGTGACAAGAATGTGCAGAGCAAGAATTGTAAGAACAAGGTTGTGAAGAAAATAACCATTGAGTTGAAGGAAATTGTAGAAAAGCATGACTGTGGTATTCCTGTGACTGATCTGGCCTTGCAGTACAAGATGGTGAACAATCTCGACAATTTTGAAGAATAAGAAAGCTGCCATCAAAAGGAACTGATGTGGCAAAAGGAGTAACGATGTTAACCAAGCAGAGGACGCAAGTGCTGGAAGAGGTGGAAAAACTTTTCTTAGTGTGGTTGAATGAGAAACAGCTGACAGATGATAGCGTTCGCGAAGTTATGATCTTTAAAAAAGCCAGGAAATTGCACAGTGATTTACTGCTAAAAAAACCCTCTACAAGTGCAGCAAATGAAGAATTTAAAGCCAGTAGAGGGTGGTTTGGAAAACTCCACAAGACAAGTGGCATCCACAGTGTGACAAGACATGATGAAGCTTCCAGTTCTGATAAGGGCACTGCAGAAGCCTACAAGAAAGAATTAGCGGAATTCATAAAGGCAGAAGGATACGTCGCTCAACAAGTGTTCAACTGTGATGAAACAGGACTCTTGTGGAAAAAAATGCTGAACAGAACCTAGATCACGCAGGAGGAAAAGGCACTGCTGGGACACAAGCCCATGAAGGACAGATTGATCCTTATGCTGTGTGCGAATGCAAGCGCCAATCTGAAGATGAAGCCACTACTGATGTACCATTTCCAGACCCCTCATGCATTCAGGGAACAGAATGTGAACAAGGTCAGACTGCCTGTCATGTGGAGGGCCAATGCGAAAGCTTGGGTCACAAAGCAATTGTTCATGCAATGGCTGCATGCGGTGTTCGCACCCACCGTAAGAAAATATCTGAAAACCAACTGCCTGAAAGGTGCCTCCTTCTGACGGACAATGCCCCAGCACACCCTCCAGCCTTGGCGGATAGTATGGAAGCGGAGTATGATTTCATAAAGGTCAAGTTCCTCCCCCCCAACACGACACCTCTTCTGCAGCCCATGGACCAGCAAGTGATCTACAACTTCAAGAAGCTGTACACAAAGGCGCTCTTCACTAGGTGTTTTAATGTCACTGAAGAGACATCCTTGAAAGAATTCTGGAAAAAACATTTCAATGTTCTCCACTGCATCAACCTCATTGACAAAGCCTGGGAATATGTCACTCACTGAACCTTAAACTCAGCCTGGAGGAAACTGTGGCCAGAATGTGATACCGAACGTGACTTTGAAGGGTCTGATGCAGAGCTAGTAGAGGAGATTTTGTCCATGGACAAGAGTATGGGTCTGGATGTTGATGATGCAGACAGAGCTTGTTGAGGAACATAAGGAGGAGCTGACCACGGAACTTTCTGAACTCCACAGTGAGCAGCAGAAGGCACTTACTGAGGAGCATTCCACTGAGGAAGAGAAAGACAGGGAGGAAGTTAGCAATGATGCCATAAAATCCATTATGGAAAAATGGAATGAGTGCCATGATTTTTTTGAGAAGCACCACTCCAACATAACTAATGAACAGAGTGTTGAGTCTAATGAACGATAATGTGGTCTCATTTCCGGAGGGTTATGCAGTGCAGGAAAAGACGAGTGACATTGGACAGATTTTTCACCAAAACTGAGCCTGCAACTAAAAAGACAAAGAACAGAGAAAACCCCTGAAGGAGATCTCCCCAATGTCTTTATAGAGGGGGACTCTCCCTCCAAACAATAACCGTCTCCCAGTTGTTTTCCTATCCTCCACGTCAGAAGTCGTGTCAAGCAAGATTAGTATTCTCGCTCTTCATACTGTACTGTACATGGTTTCATATTTTTAGGGTTCAAAAACAAAAAAATTCATAACGGATTAACCTTATTTACATTGAACCTTATGGGAAAATTTGATTAGGTTGCCAACCAAATTCGGTTCACCGGCCACATTCGTAGGGGTCAGAAGGGATTAACCTGATTTACATTGAACCTTATGGAAACATTTGCCTCGGTTCGCAATCAGTTTGGTTTGCGACCAGAGTCATGGAACGAATTAAGTTTGTGAACTGAGGTATCACTGTATTCTGTAACTTAATACATGTAATAAAGTATCTTTTCATTCTTGAGTTGATTTCAATATATCATATATGGTTTGTATGTGTCCAGATGCTCTGCAAATGCAAGTTCCACCTTTTGCACCATGTTACACCCATATTTAGGTGCAAATGTGACCTCCCCCTTACCCTCAAAATGCCTAACCTTTGATAGCATGCGGGGGATCACCTCAGCCACGGAAGCTGTCAGATTTGAAATCAGCATGGCTGTATGTCATTTATTCACAGGGATCTGTGAGTGAATGAACTGCAAGTGAATGAATTGCCACCGTGGCAAAGGGATTTGTACTTCTCAATGGAACACAACTGCAGTGATCACCGCACTTGTAGTCCACCTTAAATCCACTGATCAGCTGCAATACTTTTCAGGTTGATTTTCAAAATAATAAATGCACACTTTATCTTCTATAAATATACTGTATGTGCATTTATTATTCTTTTGAAAAAAGGTGGACTTAGCTATTAACCCATTTGCTGCCACCAGCGTACATCATATGGATGTGATCTTTATGCTTTGCTCTGCAGCCTGTATGTGCAAAAAATACTTTCTTCCTTTAAAATTTAACCTTAAGGAGCACAAAACAGATATACCAGTATATATGCCATTAACTTACAGGGTGTCGCCAGTGGAAGCAGTACACGCAAAGCTGGCAAAGTAACACATTCTGTATCCTTAAATTCTGCCAGCACTTTCAAGATTATTAAATGATCTTTGCTCTCAACAAACTCTGTCAGTTGTTCATCTGGAACTGATGAATAAAAAGGAAAACAAGCTTATATAAATACTGAATGTCAACCATATGAAAAATGCATTTCTTACAACTTGTATATTACTAAACATTGCAAAAGGGACACAACAAATCTACATGGTATCCTATAGGGTAAACTAAATGTTTAAATGGTAAATCCATTTTTTAGTTATTTTCTGTAACCCAATATATTGAGGGGAATTAAAGACTTCTCCAGAGCTATAATGCGGGAAAACTGGTGCAAGTGGCGTGCACCACATTAAAGCAGACAGACCTACTTCAGATCCATTGTGTCCGTTTCTATTTCTGAGAGAAATAGAAACTGAAATTGGTTCAGAGCCTAACAAAAAGGGATCGCAATTTCAATATAGTGCAGATGCCTTCCAGATTGGACCTGGTGTATGGGATATGTAATCTGGCAAACAGCTCACATGCCTTTCTCTGCCTGTGCTGTGCACACAGTATTGAAACAAAGCCTACGTATAGGTAGGGAAAGCTCATGTCTATGTCCCCAATTTTTAACCCTGGCAGACACAGGGTTAACAGCCTTCTTCCTTGCTTTCAGTTGAGCAAGAGGCAGACAGAGTGAACCAAATCAAAACGCATAAGCTGTTATGCTCTCTATGCCTTATCTGGTTCAGACACAGCATAGAAAACTAAGCAGACTGAGCATAATTAACCTGGCTTGTGCCCTCTCACTGACAGCATATTTCAAAAACGCCATTTTCTGCAGACAGTCTCTCAGAGCAGCTTCTAGGAATGACAATGCATTGCAGAGCGGATCCCCTTTGTCAAGCCTGCCAGAATGTGAGCCCAACAATCCAAAAAGTATTTCTTATAGCATGTACTGTTTATCAAGGTCTTTAATACTACCCTGATAAATATTTCACAAATATATGGCGTCTGTGACTTTAAAGCGCTCTTCAATAGCTTTTTACTCTTAAAGAATGAGCTTTCTCATTTGCTCTATTTTGCTCAGTAAAAATATTAAAGTGTTTTATTATATATGCTTGTTAAGGGTTTGGAACACACAAGCTCATCCCTTACTATAAGTAGCATTTTTTTTCCATGGTTTCTGAAAATGACAATAGGAGTTCAAAAGTGCATCTCTAGCCATTTTTTAGAGCCCAGATTCACTTTTTACATTAACTGGTCCTTGCAGAAAAGGGGCTCCAGTGGTTTAAAATGCACACTGATATTTTTAGAAATACTTTCTATTGCAAATGCCATACCTGTGGGTGTTTTCTGTTACCCAAGAAGCCTGACTGAAATACTTCCACTACTACTGACCTATTTCAAGGATATGGACTAGAACAAAATGGCCTTCTTCTTTGAAAACAACTAAACTGGTCATTGTTTTAGTGGTCCTAAAACATTTGTCGCATGGTGGCCATTTTTTTTGCCAAGTGTGAAAATCTTGGTGGGGATGTGTGACTGGAGAGTCTTTGCTCCAACAGGAGAGAATGCACTGCTTAGCTGCTGAACTAGGAAGAAAGCTCACTCCTGCTTTTGAGGACACAATTGCCATGTCCTAAAGATAAGCCAGGATTGTAGAAATGTTAATACTGGCAGTATTTCAGAGAGGCTTCCTGGGTGACAGAAAAGGCCTAGAAGTATGACATTTGTAGTAAACAATATTTTTACAAATGGCAAACTGCATGTTAAACTACTGGGATCCCTTGTCTTCATGGGTCAGTTTGTGTAAAAAGGTGAACTTAGCATTTAAGATTTGGATAAAGTAGAAAAAAACCTTTAGAAACCCATATTTTTTTTTTCTTTCACCACTTGAGACCTACTGGGAAGGAGATTTCCCTTCATTTTTTATCATTGTGACAACATTGTGGCAAAAAGCAAACAAATCTCCAAAAATAGGGATTACTGCCTTCCCAACTACCCTAATAAAAGAGTGTTTTTTATTGCCACTTTGTCCCTGTCAAAAGAGATTTGCCCTCAATTCCTGTCTGGCAACAACACTTTCACTACAACAAGAAATTAGGTACTATCTTCCAAAATGGGCCCTCAAAACAGTGATAAAGAAAAAATAAACAGGGGTTCTAACCATTCCTCCTATCCAAAACTAAAAGGGAAACCATTTTGCTTAGAGATGCACTTAAAAGTATAACTAAAAAGGCACAAAACATTTTTAGTTTTTGATACAGTAGAGATGCAACAGAACACCTGTTTTTATTGCTATCTCTGTCCCCGTTAGGGAGGGTCACCCTCTCTATTTGTTCTGTTTACCGTTATCCTCAAAAGTGAAAGTATACTAAATTTTGGGTTGTCCCCAGAAAAGTAATAGAATGGAAATCTTCCAATGAGGACACTAGTTCTGTGACATAGGGGCCCCACTGGATTTCTGTAATTTACAGGGATTTCCTCTTGCTTCCGGTTTTAGCCAGGACATCAAGGTAAATCTACCCAAAAGGGACACACAAAAAAAAAAAAAAAAAAAAAAACTGACAGTGGGTTATAACCCCCTTCCCCCTTATTCTATCCAAAATAAAAAAAATTTTGCCTATAGCTCTACTTTAAGTGATGAACAGTTAAAATTATTCAGCTGATGAAGATGTGCTGCACTGCATCACATACAGTGCAATTAGAATTAAGAGATGAACACAGTATTATTAAATTTTGGATCACTGTAACACAAAAGCCTAGGGTTTCTAAGCATGGAACTAATAGAGTGATGAGAGAAATACTGCATCTTCCTCACCTTTAGTGGGGTATTTTGTACACAAAGTAGTTTGCAAGCATGTATATTTATAATGTATATTTTAGTTTTTTGCCAGTTAAAGTGCACGAATGGTCAAAGTGTAAAATCATAAATTCCTTTCTACATTACATTATTATTTCTAGCCTACTCCCATTCATTTGAACAACCTTGATGTTTGCAAGCTCCCCACATGTTTACGTCCTTGAATTTTGTGACACATTCACTATACCCTGATAAGCAGCAGTGCTGTGTCACAGAATTTACAGAACCTGCCTTCTGAACTACAGTGGTGGTGAAAGGAGAAGTTTCATGAGCCAGAGTCAGTACAGGAATCACTGTTGCAGGCAACAAGGCACCATGAGACATGTAATTCTTAGAAATTGAAAGTAAATAGCTGCGGAGAAGTGCAAATAAACAACAGAGGGGAAGCTGCATGCAGCCTGCAGCATTGTATAGTGCTTGCCCTACAAGGCAAGCACAGAAGTTGCAAACAAACAATGCAGAGATGCAGAGACTATGATAGGGAAAGCGGCCAAGTCGCAGCTCAGCAGGGAGAAGCAGTCAGTAAATGCTGGGACAGGGGGGAGCAGGAGAGTCAGCTGCACATGGGGTGGGGACGCTGAGTACTGCAACATTCATGCCCCACCTCGGATACAGTGATCACCAGCCTAAGGGGACATGCTGGCCACTAACTACAAATATAAGGGGATGCACTGAGTAGCTATTTGAGAGGACACACCAAGCATTTACCATCAATATAAAAGGAGCATGCTGAGAACTGGACACCAATGTAGGGGCACACTCAGCACTGACTGCTAGTGTAAGGGGTTACACAGAACACTGACCACCAATTTAAGGGGGCTCTTAGCACAAACACGGGAATATCTGCATAGTCCTGACCCTTGCACTCTGACCATTGTACTGAATACAGTATGTTGTACATTACATAGTGCTGACTGCTGCACTGCATACTCTACATAATGCTAGAATCTAGGAATATTTTTTTTTTCTTACTGTTGGGGCATGGGAGCTTTTCACAAGAATTTACTGGGCTCCGGTCTCACAAAGGTTGAGAATCAATGGCATAGAGTACCAATGCCCTATAATACTATATCATCTACTAAGCATACACTGTATAATATGTCACTTGTTCCACTGCATCTTCTCTACTGGATTAAATGGCATATTCTCTTTCTCCTAATTATACAGCATCATCTGTCACCCATATGCTGGCCAGTATCTAAACTGAGTTCAGAACTGGCCACCTGCTATTTTGGGAAGAGACTTGCTGGTCGCTTGTGTCATTGTAAATCACTGTGTCATATCCAGAGCTCGCCTGCTTCCAGAAGTGACCACTCCCTTCACTGTCACTCAGAACTTTAGAGAGATTTGTCTCCTTGTGAGTATCATGCTCGACCAAAAGTGGGGGTAGGGGGCAAGCGCTCTACCATGCTAGCTCAACTATAGGCACTTTGTACCCCCTGGGAAAGTTCTTTCTGGTGAAAATTCTTGTTTAAAATGTGAAGTTTACTTGAGTCTATAGGTCACAAAAATAGCTAAAATTTTCAAGATAATAAAGTTCAACCACCAAGAGTACTTGTTTGCATGGCTCGTTCTCTTGCCCTTTTCAAATTAAGAGTCTTTAGGAGTAGTAACAAAAAAGGTTATAATCCAGTGAGTAGATGCACGAATATCTTTTTTATACAGCAAAAAATAAAAAGCACAATAGCATACCTTTCACTAGAAGGAGGTAGAGTGCTTGGCATCCATACATTTGAATTTCTTCTTTATCAAAGAACATTTTCATGGCATCAAATATAAGCATAAAAATGTCTGCATCATGATCCAAAACCAAAAAATGTATCACATCTATAAAATGGAAAAATATTTTAGAAGTCTGGACACAGACCAACGACGTACATAAACCACCAGAGGCAAAAACCTCCATTTCAACTGGATCAGACCAAAATTAAGATGACATTAGGAGAAATAAAGTAAGTTAGTCAAGGTGGATAGTTTCAAGCAATTTGTTTGATCTCCAAACAAGTATTAGAAACTCTTAGTACCTGCACACGACCAGTATATAAGAAGCACTGTTTCTGTCAAAGAAAAGTAAAGTATCGGAACTCAAGCAAATGCCTGACCACCATCAGTTATGATAAACTGTAAAAGTACCACAGACTGTATACATGGCCCCATGTAAGCAACAATAAAGTAATCACCTGATCAGTTCCCAGTCCCAGCTTCAATGTAGAGGAGAGGCAGAGCCAGGGTGATGACATCAGCCATAGACTTACTACCCTCTTATAAACTGAATCCAGCGCTGGGGCCAGATCATATGACTTGACCACAGCAGCTTCATTATAGGTACGAACATACATCCTTTCTTTACAGGGAAGATAGAACAGTCTTAGAATGGGAGTGGGAGAAGGATTAGGCTTAGTTAGAATTTGACTGGAATTACACTTTAAGGGCGACTGTTTTAAATATTTGAGAAACCAGTATGCACTATTTGTGTGTGATATAGACAGATATGGTTTTGGCAATGAAAAGGATTGCAAATTATAAGGAGTAGTCATAAAGGGGCCAAGTCTATCTATGGTTAAATGGCCCAGTGTTTTGTTAGGTAGGGGTTTAAAGTTAATGGCATTACACACACACACACACACACACACACACACACTTGTGTTCAAAATAATAGCAGTGTGTTGAAAAAAAGTGAATAAAGCTCAAAATCCTTCTAATAGCTTTTATTTCCATACACACAAATGCATTGGGAACACTACACATTCTATTCCAAATCAAAACATAAAAGAAAAATATATCAAATTTGTGTTCCTCTAAAAAAAAATTGAAGAAAAGGGATATTAGACTGTTCAAAAAAAATAGCAGTTTTTTGTATTCTTTACAAACTCAAACATTCACTATATAAACTGAAAAATGTTCGAAGATTTTGCTTTCCTTTGAATAACTTAATTCATATTTAATTGTATAAGCACTGTTTCTGAGAACTGGTGTACATCTGTGTTGCATGGAGTCAACCAACTTCTGGCACCTGTGAACAGGTATTCCAGCCCAGGATGATTGGACTACATTCCACAGTTCTTCTCTATTTCTTGGTTTTGCCTCAGAAACTGCATTTTTGATGTCACCCCACAAGTTTTCTATTGGATTAAGATCCGGGGATTGGGCTGGCCACTCCATAACGTCAATCTTGTTGGTCTGGAACCAAGATGTTGCACGTTTACTGGTGTGTTTGGGGTCGTTGTCTTGTTGGAACACCCATTTCAAGGGCATTTCCTCTTCAGCATAAGGCAGCATGACCTCTTCAAGTATTCTGATGTATTCAAACTGATCCATGATCCCTGGTATGCAATAAATAGGCCCAACACCGTAGTATGAGAAACATCCCCATATCATGATGCTTGCGCAACCATGCTTCACTGTCTTCACAGTGTACTGTGGCTTGAATTCAGTGTTTGGGGGGTCGTCTGACAAACTGTCTCCGGCCACTAGACCCAAAAAGAACAATCTTACTTTCATCAGTCCACAAAATATTGCGCCATTTCTCTTTAGGCCAGTCAATGTGCTCTTTGGCAAATTGTAACCTCTTCAGCACGTCTTTTTTTCAACAGTGGGACTTTGCGGGGGCTTCTTGCAGATAGCTTAGCTTCACATAGGCGTCTTCTAATTGTAACAGTACTCACAGGAAACTTTACACCTTCTTTGATCTTCCTGGAGCTGATTGTTGGCTGAGTCCTTGCCATTTTGGCTATTCTTCTATCCATTCGAATGGTAGTTTTTCACTTTCTTCCACGTCTTTCAGGTTTTTTGGTTGTCATTTTAAAGCATTTGCAATCATTTTAGCGGAGCAGCCTATCATTTTCTGTACTTCTTTATATGTTTTTCCCCTCTCCAATCAACTTTTTAATCAAGGTACGTTGTTCTTCTGAACAATGTCTGGAACGACCCATTTTTCTCAGAATTTCAGAGAGAAATGCAATTGTAACCAGCATGTACAACATTTGCTGTCTTCCTTCCTTAAATAAGGGCAATAATTGCCACCTGTTTTTCAAAGAATGAATGACCTCACTAATAGAACTCCACACTGCTATTATTTTGAACATGCCCCTTTCAATGAGTGATTCAATTACACAGAATCAGCAGCATGCATGTCATGACTGTTGGGTCTGTTGGATTTCTATTACTCTACTACACCTGCTAGTAAATTATTTGCCATGCAGAAATATCATTTCTACCAAAAACAGTGATTGATCAGGTTAGTGATGTCTGACTGCTATTATTTTGAACATAACTGTATATAATGTACACACACACAATTTTTTATACACCATTAGCCATACGATTATTATTTTAATACAGCCAAGGAACCATCGGCCTAATACATGTCATTGTTTCTGCAAAAAAGATATATTGTATGGCTCACATTAATTTGATCATAAATAAGGAATATTAATAATTATAGGCACATGTAAAATGTCCTACCTGAAGCAAGTATGGTAGTTAAAGCTTTCAATCCAATTGTCAAGACACTAAGATTTGTACCATAAATGGACAGGATATTCAGAATTTGCCTGCAAATAAACAAACAACTACATTAATATCTTATCATAGTTTACCCAAAGAGAAAAATAGCCATATTTAAATCACACAGGTGAGCACAGTTTCTAGAAAGTTGGCTATGCAGAATTGCATATTGAGAAAAATCAGGTCAGACCTGACTCTCAGACTTACAATGTGAGAAATAAGTAGGGTGAAGTATTAGAGGAAGCAGAGCCTGCATATGTAAGGAATGCACACAGTATATTAACAAACTAAGCATGGAAGCAAGACTGTTTAAAAAAAATGAATGATTAACATTAAGCCAATCACATTTAAATATACTGTATCTATATAGACCATTATTTCCATTTAATACTGTCAGTATTTAGTTTTAATCTTTACTTTTGCAGATCAGTTCTCAAACAGTATGAGTGAAACTAAAGCACAATCCAGAATGTAAAGTAGATCTAAATGTGCTAAAGCAATGTTTTGCAGCCAAGCTGGAGTTAGGGTGTGTAGACAGAAAGTAGTAAAATGTTAATATAAAAAAAAAAAAATAGGATTTTTTTTCAATCCTACTTGGAAAATCCTTGTCTTGAGGTACAGTATAGGCCACATGTGTAGTCACAGACTATTGGGTTATATGCCTATACCTTCATGAGAGACTGGACACGGGTCTTGGGGCAGTCCCATATAATGTCTGCTTACAACAATGTTCATTATTTTTAGCAAGCATTAGGAGTGAATGGACCTGTGCCCAGGACTATGTACCAAAAAAAAATAAATAAATAAAATGGATTTCACAGCCAAGCCAAAAATTTTAATTTTAAAAATTAAAAAAAAAAAAAAAAAAAAAAGTAAAATGTACCTGTAAATTCACCCCATCCACTCTGCAGTACTCCAGTATTGTATCAAGCAATAAGGAGAAACCAAGTACAGAGGGGAGGGACTTGAGTCCTGCATTGTATTCCATGGCATGGAATTTACAGGTAAGTCAAAATTCACATTGCCCAATAGGTCTAACTTCATGGTTTATGTCCCTTAACCCCTTCACGCCTAAGGGTAAAACAAATCTAAATGCCTAAGCACAATTCTGCAACGTTGACATGTTAGTAAAACCGTACATATCGTCACAACTACTTTGTACATCCAGGTGGATTATACCTTGTTTTTTTCAGGACAAATTGGGCTTTCATTTGGTGGTAAATGGTCATGGATAGCTCCTAATTTTTTTTTATTATTAAAGGAAAACTGGGCCAAAATAGTAAAAAAAATCATTTTTTTAAATTTAACTGTGTGTTTCTTGTTACGACCATAACCTACCACCAAAGAACAACCCAAAATACATTCTCCAGTTCTTGACGATCGCAGCAATACCATATATGTGTATGTTATTTGTTGTTTGTACCCGTAGTACAGCCCAGAAACAACAGTGCGCATTTTGTTTTTGTCTTTTTTTTTATTTATTTTTTTTTACATAAAACACGCTGTCACTGACATTGACATGAACACTAACTGACACGGATACCAATTTTTTTTTTAAATCCTGACCTTTGACCCTGACCTTTGCCCTTGACCCTTGACCCTGACCTTGACCCAAACACTAACCCTGGTACTGAACTAGATCAAACCTTGATCTAGGTATTTTTCTTTATTTTTTAATATTTATTTATCTTTTTTTTTTTTTTTTTTTACAAACTTTTTTTTTCTCTCTCTATGTCAGGAGTTCGAGAGATACAATGTATCTCTCTTCTCCATTCATAGAGAGAGAGAAAACAAGGGGGCCGGGCTGCACAGTGATTGATCACTGTGATAGCCAATCAGAGGCTATCACAGCGATCACGTGACCCGGAATCGGGAGTCCCGGGTCCCGATCGTTAGAACGTTGTATCTTATGAATGAACACAAAGCTTTTTTGATTTGGTGAGGTGGAGATCATGACATTGTATGCCAGCCTCTTTACCTCAGACAACCAGCAGAAGCTATGTATTCATTCATAGAATACAAAGCGCCATGTAAATGACTGAGCAGCATTCAGGCAACATACAGTTAATACGTGACCAGCAACCACACCTGTCGCAATAGAAAGTTAATTTCAGCCAGCTTGACCCAAGCAAACTATTAAAAAGAGACATTAAACTTGGAGTTAGGCTTTAATCGTACAGTACAGGACTTGTAGTCATAGACCATGGGATGCCCCAAAGCAATAAACTGAAGGGTGGGCAACAATATAGCAAATAGCTAACAGACCCACAAAAACAAGGGTGCAAGGACCCAAAACACAGGACAGCTTGATGCACCTTGCAGCTGAAGCTCACATCAGCAGAGGCCTGGAGATCCACTTGGAAAATATGAACAGAAGACCAGGCGACAACCTTGCAGACCTAAAAAACGGATGGTTGATGCTGAAAGACCCAATAAACTGGAGCAGTGGGCCCAGAAAACAAACTAAGGAACCCTTTCCTTGAGGGGCATAAGCTCTGGAAATGAGCTGTCTGAACCACCTGGCTATGAGGCAGTAGGAAGCAGGACCTTGGGGCCTTCAGTGGGGACAAAAAGGCAGTCATTTTTTTTCTGAAAGAAAAAAAAAAAAAAGACGTTACAGTTAAGTAAACCCTAACAGCTCTGACCACATTAGGCAATTGAGTGAATTCACGAGTTTTGAGGACAGAGGGAAGGGAAGATGATATCCTCAATGAGGTTAAGGTCAAGTTCATTTTTGAAACATGTTACTCATATATTTAGCATGCAACTTGTAACACGCTCCAGAAAGGTTTCTGGATTAGAATTGATAAGGCAGAAACCTGAATCTTTAAAATATAAAAGAACCAGATGCTGGTCCACACTAGACTAAAGGATAGACAGGATGTGAGGAGTAGAATATTCCCAGGTTTTGGAGGTGCTTGCTTCTGCCACAGCCAAAATAGGCAAATGTTATATCTTAGGACAAGTAGTTTTTGCTTTGAGCTAGGTGAGAATGACAGAATAAAGAATTCTTTAGAACACGGGTGTCAAACTGGCAGTCCACCAGCTGTTGCCAAACTACAATTCCCATGAAATATTGCAAGATTGACAGTTACAAGCATGACTGACAAAGGCAGAGGCATGACGGGACTTGTAGTTTTGCAACAGCTGGAGGGTCGCCAGTTTGATACCCCTGCTTTAGACCATGTGTTTCAATAGACATGTCATCAAAAGAGAAGCGGGGGGGGTTCGATCCGATGCTGCATGTGTCACCCACCGACTCGAAGGGTGAGAACTTAGCGATCACATGACCGCTGATTGCCGAGTTCTCCTATCCGCTCTGAGCAGAGAGTGGGACTGTCAGTCACCGTTCTCTGATCAGCCCCCTCCAGTGCTCACTAGATCGCTGCGCTGTGAAGGGGGAAGGAATGGCTGGTTCAGGCTCTCTCTCAGCACTTTGCTAAGAGACTGAGCCAGATACCACTCCAAACTCTGGTTTGGATCCAGACTTTGAAGTTGGGATCTTTCCCCAGCCTAGACTGGCTGAGTGACGTGAGCCAACGACAGACTTCAGTCCACTGGCAGACAAACTGCACTCCTATGATCCACAGAAGTACATCCAAAAAAGCTTTGGCTGTACTCCTCCTTTAAAAGATAGAGACCAAGAACCAGAGTGGAACCATATGACAAAAAGGTCTGCAGTTTGAGAAAGGCAAAGACTCGTCCAACAGTTGTCTCGAGTAAGTGTTTTCACGTGACAATTTAGGGTGATTAGGACTGTCAAAATCCATTCTCCCTCTATCTTGCAGAGCAGTTGAGGGATAAGGTACACTGGAGTGTATACATACACCAGTCTGAACAGGGACAAAAGATTTAGCAGGGCATCAACCACAAAGGCAGGGAGAGGATCCCAGATATAGCAACAATCCTGTCCTATTGTTGAATCTGAAAGCCATGATATTCACATCTGGTGTTCCCCACCTCTGGCAGAGCATGGAAGATCTTGAGAAGGGGGAACGCTCTCCTGAGTACTTTTCCCTCCGAGAAGGTGACAGAGAGAGTTTTAACATATTATTAAGACCTGGAGAGAATCAGGCTTCTTTTCATCAGGGATGCCCGACTTCTGGATGCCCCTTGAGGGTTTATGTAGGCCTAAGCCATGGCATTCCTGAATGCACACATGTAGGAGAGGGGTCCATTGTAGGAGAGTCAGTCTTATGGGTGGTCTGGACAGTTAGGGAATAGTAGGTCCTGCTCCAGTTGTATCATTTCCACCTCCAAGGAAAAGGGGAGGAACAATTTCTTTGGTTCTAGGATTGAGTTGAATGTCCACCATGACAGGGAGATTTTTTCCTGGCTGGACAGAAGTAGTGGGAAATCCACAGAATATGGGCTGCAAAGGTCTGGAGTGGAACAAAAAGTTAACTGTCTCAAAGAAGGACCACATGCCTTATGCAGAACAAAGTCAAAGAATGCCAGGTTGATCAGATAGCTGGAAGCAATATTTTTCCTTGTGTGTGTCTAGAATCAGTCCCTGATATAAGGCAGGACAACAAATTGAAAGAGTTGGTCTCCCACAGCAAAGTGTAGAAAGCTACATCCCCCCCGGGTCATATCAAGCCTGACTTTGAAATCGTGCGACTTACAGTGAAGTTGCATGATTTCAAAGTCGGATGAGATGCCGATTTCAGGTGCGATTTTCAAGACATCTGACACAGATGTCTATGCAAATCGCACCAAAAGAAGTACGGAACCGCACCGATTTGACCGCTCTAATTGCGGACAATAGGGTGCGACTTGGCATACGATTTTCAAGTCGCATGGCATGCAAATCGCATGCCAAGTCGCACCCGATGTAACCGGGGTGTTAAGATGTAAGAGAGAGCAATGACAGCAACAGTCTGCATAAAGTCATTACAGCAGTTGTAAAGGTAGAAGGTTTTTACCTTAGTGCATTCTCTGCATTATGATAAAAACCTTTCCATGTCAGCTCCTCA